TATATATGTGTGTGTGTGTGTGTGTTCCATGGAAAAAAAAGTATTGCTCAGAAGAAAGCAGGAAATCTAATAAATCTCTTTAAAAGCAACTAGTCAAATATTCATTCAGATAACCCACAGTCTAATCAATTTCAAAATTATGTAGTTTAGTGCATTCCTCATTACTCGGTAGGTTTTCTGAAATTCACCTTCTGTCATTATGTGGTTAACAAAATAAAGTTTTGTTAATGATCACAAATCTTTAAAGACAGACCCTGCTGAGAAGATGATACAAAATGAATGTTGTTTGCACCACATACGGCACTTATGTCTGCTTTACCAGAATTTGATGTGATTCTTCCCTTAATAAATGAGCAGCTCTCAACCACTGCGGAAAGGAGTCATGGGAGAGCGGGAGGCGAAACACTAACATCTCATTTAATCAAGTGCCTTCTTGAATTGGTTTTCTCCCAAAAATGAATGACACCGCAGAGAAAAAAGCAGACAAGAGCAGCGTGGTGTATCCTGCTTGTCCCACAGGTTTATTGATCATGAAAGCAGATTGCCTTCACTTCTGAGCTGACTCTACATGGTCCTGTTAGTCAAGGGTAAATAAAGCAAGACAGACGCCTGTGTTTCACGGACACTGAGAGACACAGACATTATTCATCATTCCCTAGCTGAGATGTTCCATCGACAGCATAGTGTGGGGGATAAAATTCAGCAGCAGGCAAGAAAATCATGAATAATGATGGTGCATAATCCAGCCTAATAGATGAAAATATGAGTAATGTGTTAATAGGAGGTGGTCTTTCTCTCTGTTAGAAAGTCAAATTTCGAGCAGGAATATTGACAGGTGAGGTGGACAGGAGATATTCCAGAGAGACACGGCTGACATGCTTTCATCTGTCAGCATAATTGTTTACAAAGAAAATGCTGTTGACAGCAGAGATGGGAAAGGGGTCGTCACTTAAATGCATGCATCCTTGCTTAAATTTTCATGTGTGGGCCTCTCATCACAGAGCTCTATTGGGGAATCAGCAGGGACCTGGAAATACAATGTTACATTGGAAATACACTGGCTCATAATACAATTATATTGAGATTGTTTCATTAGTGTATAGATATTCAAAATGAATATATACTGCAATCCATTACTCCAAGTTTCTATTTCATCTGCAATTGACTGATTTCCTCAACCTACACTAATGTGGGATTTTGTTGTTCTTGAAGGAAGATTCCTATTTTCAGATTTTTCAGAAATCATTCTAATATGTTAATTTGGTGCTGAAGAAACAATTCTTATCATTATCAATGTTCAAAACAGTTGTGCTGTTTAATTTTTTTGTTGAAACGGTAATATTTTTTTTCGTGATTCTTTTGATGAATCAAAATTAATGTTTATTTGAAATCATAATCTTTTAAAATGTAAAACATTATAAATGTCTTATCTGTCACCTTTGATCTATCCTTACTGATCTTTTAATCAGTCCATGTGTTCCCTGGAAATCAAACCCATGACTTTGACTGTTGTTAACACCATGCTCCAAGACAGTGGTTCCAAATCCTGGTCCTAGAGAACCCCCAACACTGCACGCTTTTGATGACTCTTATCTGACACACACATTTGACGCCTTGGAGTCTTCACTAATGAGCTCACGAGTTAAATCCATTGTGTTTGATTAGGGAGACATCTAAAATGTGCAGTGCTGGGGGTTCTCCAGGACCACTGCTCTAAGAGTTGAACTACAGGAATTGCAGTCACCCCTAGTGGAAGAGTGTGATTTCTACACTTCAGAATCTCATTTGCCTTTTGGAAATGACCAAGATGTCAGGAGGAGGCTTAACTATGTCAGTAATGCAAAAAACATGCAGCAGATTTTGGGTCTCCTCAAAGCTTTATTTAATCCTTTATTTAGTTAATCCTGTCTGCCTCAGCTGCAACATGTGGCACTACCATGACACAATTTAAGGGACAGAAGCTGACAGGACGCAGCAATCATTTGAAGCTTTGGCTCAAGCAGTATTGGATCTACTAAGCAGATGCCTCTGGTGCTCTGTGTGCAACGGACTGTTAGAGGAAAGTCTTATAAGATCTGTGTAAGCCTGTATGAGTGACGGCAAGACAATAGGTGTGCTACATCAATAAGACCTTAAGCATGTGATGCTAAAATAAATGCATCTGAGATCCTAATAAGCAAGACAGCATAGAATATGAAAAGAAGCACTCAAGAAGAATCACACTTTTAAGATCACAATGGAGTCACATCAATCAACAACATTTGCAAGTCACTTTTAATACACTTTACACCGGTT